GGTGAGGCTGTCGTCGCCACCGTCTGCTGCTGCTGGAGGGAGCCGGCGGCCTGCCGCGGGGCGGACCGGGCCTTGGGCAGGTCGAGCGAGATGTCGAAGAAGGGGTCGATCGCGGTCGACGTGTAGCCGCACCGCAGGCAGGTGAGGTCCGACCGCAGCCGCCCGGAGAAGATCTGGTGCACGATGCACCGGCACGACGCGGCCGTCGAGCCGCCGCTGTGCTTGTGAAGCCCGTTGAGGGTCGAGATGAGGAACTCGTGGGCGTCCTGCTGGTCGTAGCCGGCGAGGTTGTCGGCGTGCCGCCACATGCTGTAGAGGAAGTGGTACGGCGCGTAGGGCGCGCCGGTGCCCGAATAGACCTCGGCGAAGAGGTAGTCGAGCTCGCACGCCAGGCAGATGTCGTCGCGGTTAGCCGAGCACCCGGAGCGGTTGTGGAGGTCGCTAAGGAAGTAGTTCCTCAACAGCGGGTTGTGCAGCAGCGACTGCAGGATGCAGTTCATGAAACACGTGTTGCCCATGTTGTACAATCCGCGAAGGCCTATTCATAGCCACACCACGCACGCAGTGAGAAAAAAACAATAATAACAAACATAACAGGGCTGACAACTGCGGTACCGAGAAGATTGGAGGGCACGGTGCATCGCTTGGAATTGTTGCTGAGCTGATTGATGTCGTCGGTCGAGGGCGCCCACACGTTGTACTTGACCTGCTTCACGCTGGGCTCTGCACGGCGAGCACACACAAACACAGCGTGAGCGTTGCACCCTCCCGCGCTCTCGCTCGACGGGCAACGGCGACCCACCTGCAAGCTTCTGCTTGACGGCGGAGAAGGTGCTCTGCTCCTTGGCCGCCTGCAACTCGAAGTCTCGGTCATAGACGTAGTCCTTGCACGCCCCGCAGTACAGCTGTCCGTGGCTCACGTCCACCGCTTATGTTGTGTGTTGTGTGTTGGTGTGGTGTGGTGTGGTGTGGTGTTGTGTGTGTGTGTGTGTGTTGGTCGGAAGGAACAAGACCATCGTAAGCCCATGGATCACGCGGCCACTCGAGGGCTCGCTCGATGTACCGAGGGTGTGGTTGTGTTCGGCGAGGTGGGCAGCTAGGTGCCCGCCGTCGGCGCAGCCCACGAAGACGCAGTGCAGACAGGCGTGTAGCCTTCGCCCCATGCCCGGCGCAGCGCAACCGAAGCAGCGGGCCGGCACCGACAAGGCCTGCACTCCGCCCACCATCACCTTCGCAAAGAAAAACCATAAATAAAAACCCAACAATGATGATAAAAGAGCAAAAAAAGATTGAAAAGTAGAAGAGGAGAGAAGAGGCTGGGGTACGGGAACGGGGGAAGGTCCGAGGATGTGGTGTCGGCAGATGCAAAGGTACTGCATGACTGGCTTTGCCATCTCGAGTCCCCCGCTGTGTTTGAAGGCCTGCATGTGGACACAGCTGCCCCGCGGGCCGATGCGTCCGTTGAGGCCACCGTTCAAGCTCGTGGACGCTTCATTTCCCTCACAGCACCGCACCGCCTCCATCTCCTTTCTGTGGTCAGTGTCGCACCGTGTTTTGATTTTAATTTATCTTTTTCTTTTCCGAAATATTTTCCTCAAGTTTCTTTGTTGGGTAAGCTGGGAAAAAACAGGGCAAAGGGCTCGACGTCGCAATCAGCCACCACGTCGGCACCATCTTGAAGATCGACGCCGTTGCGCCCTCTTCCATTTTCCACACTTCTCCTACAAGATGGTCGTGCTCGCTGCCGCTGTGTGCACCAAATCGGGCAAAGGTGCGCTTGCTTGTTCAATTTCATTTGCGCAGTGGGGCGACATCCCATCCCCCTCATGCCATTCTGGACCAAAATCTGAAATACGCGATCTATGACTTCAGCGCTGGTCTCGCGCCAGTTCGTGGACATCAGCCGCGTTCGCATTGAAGGCTTGCTTGCCGCCTTCCCCAAGCTGATGGGCTCTGGCAGGCAGGGCCACGCCAGTGCCATCCAGCACACCTTCATCGAGACTGAGACGGTTCGTTACGTGTACCAACCGCTCGAGGGCCTCTACATGTTGCTCCTCACCAACAAATCGAGCAACATTCTTGAAGATCTCGATACTCTCCATCTGTTGGCCAAGCTGGTGCGTAAACAAAGTCCTGGTCGATCGTTTGAGTGCGTCAATCTCACTCCATCTCGCTCTTAATCGAAGGTGCCTGAGTACTGCGGCAGACTCGAGGAGGAGCAGGTCGCCGACAGGGCCTTTGAGCTCATCTTCGCCTTTGATGAAGTGATTGCGGTGGGCTACAAGGAAAAGGTCACTCTCCAGCAGATCAAAACCTTCTTGGAGATGGACAGCCAGGAGGAAAAGATCCACGAGATGCTCGAGAAGGTACGCGTTGAGTCACACTCTTCTCCCATCGACCCTTCACCACTCGTTACTGTCTCCGCGAGCTCTCCGTTGCTCCTTGCGCTCGCCGTCTATTGCTATCAACTCTGTACGCCGATCGCTTCTCACCTTCCTTTCCACCTGTCAACAGAATAAAGAGCGCGAGGCCAAGGAGGAGGCGGCTCGCAGGCGACAGCAGATCGAGAAGATGCGCCAGGAGAACATGAAGAGCGGAATGGGCGGTGGCATGGGCATGGGTGGCGGTATGGGCAGCGGAGGCAGGTGGCAGGGCGGCGGCGGCAGTTCGAGCTTCGAGTCCCCGCAGATTCCCGGTAAGTTGAGAACCCTCTTTCTCGTGTGAGGGTACAGAACCTAAGGGCTCATTTCCCCACTTTCCAACGCAGCCGACCCCTTCGTGGTGAAGGAGACCCGCGCGCCGCCCAAGCCTACGTCCTCGAGGGGCGGCATGGTGCTCGGCCAGAAGGAGCCCACCTCCAAATTCCTGCAGGCAATGAAGAAGGAAGAGGGCGCCGACCTCATCCGCGAAGAGACCTCCGTCTCCGCCAACACCCCAGGAGCTCCCCCCGTCGCTCGCGAGAAAGTCAAGTACGTTGCTTGCCCCAACTCACCGCCTTCACGCGCCTGGTCACAGCACAGTCCAGTGGCTGACCCACACTGTGTTGCAACGCAGCATCGAGGTGGTCGAGGTTGTGAGCGCCACCGTGGAGAACGACGGTGGTCTGCAGTCGCCCCTCGATGTGCGAGGCGACCTTACCCTCACTATCGATGATCCCGCCGCCGCGCGCGTGCTCATCCACGTCGCCCCCGCCGCCGAACACAAGTCTTTCACCTTCAAGGCGCACCCCAACATCAACAGGGACAGGTGGACGAAGGAGCGCGTTGTCGCGCCCAAGGGCGACAAGGCCTTCCCCGCGGGTACCGCTCTCAACGTGCTCAAGTGGCGCTGGCAGACGTCGGACGAGGGCTCGCTCCCACTCACCGTCTCGTGCTGGCCCACGCCCGGCGGCGACGGCACCACCGCCGTCACTTTGGAGGTACGACAACCACCAGGTGCCCACATTTATTGTGTGAGCTCTTCGCTTACTTCGTCGTCATCCTCCGTCTCTAGTATGAGCTCCAGCGCCAGGACTTTGTGCTGTCGAACGTGCGCATCTCCATTCCCATCATCGGATCGACGCCCAACCTGGGCGAGATCGCCGGCGACTACGACTTCGACGTGAAGAACCACATCCTGCACTGGAAGCTCGACTTCATCGACGAGTCCAATCCCACCGGCTCGGCCGAGTTCAGCATGGGCGCCGTTGACGCCTCCTCCCTCTTCCCGATCACCATCTCCTACACCTCCAACAACACATTCTGCCCCATCGAGGTACTTTCCTACCTCTACCCCGCACGCCCTCCTCGAGCCTCTTGAGAGCTACATCTTCTTCTCTTTGAGAACTCTAATGTCTGAGTTTTCCTCGCTTGCTTTGTGTACAGATTGAGCAGGTGGTGTCGCCCGACGAGGAGCCGATCCGCTATGCGCTCTCCAAGTCGCTCCAGACCGACCAGTACCAGCTTGTCCAGTAATCTCCTTCCATCTCTCTCTCTCTCTCACACACAACCACCCCTTCTTCATTCTCTCTCCTTCCCTTTGATTGTTTTGTGTACGCGTGCAACCTGCCTTTTTGATGGATCAGTATATACCCCCGTTCTCCCCTATTGTGTGTGACACACTCGCACCAGAGGCGATTGATTGATAATAATAGTAATAAATCACGTGACCAACAAACACGCAAACAACTTGGTTTGCATCTTTCTTCAGTTCAAGAGGATGAAGGGTTGGTACCATTGGCTGAAGAATTACAAACATGCGCCACAGTTAAATTAATTTGGGGGAGACCAAGAAGAACAGCGTGCAACCTGCTTTGTGTGGTGTCTAGGGAGCTGCGAGCAAGAGTGAATATAGGAAGAGAGAGAGAAGAACGCCAAGCTCTCTTTCAGCGAGGACCCTCTTCTTCCTCCATCTATCTTCTTCTGCATCGACGATCAATTTGAAGGGGGGAACATGGCGCTGGCGACGGGCGGATTTACGGTGAGACGCACGACGCTGCCCTCCGACGTGATACTGAAGGTGAACATTAACGTGATCGGGGCGACGAAGACGCTCAAATTCGATGGCACCTGCACGGTGAGGGAGGCCATGCGATTGATCGCCCACAAGTGCCTGCTGAGCGTATCGGACGAGGATCTGGAGACGCAATTCGTGCTCTACAAGCCTGATGGCGACTTCGATGGCACCTACCTCGAGAATCACTCGTCCTACCTCTCTGCCAACAACCTCCAGAACCAGGATTGGATCGAATTCAGACGCCGTCCTACAAAATTGGTCGTTCAGAACCTGACCGGCCAGATGGAGTCTCTACTCGTCGATTTCGATGCCTCCATCTCCTCCCTCATCCTCTTTCTCGGCAAGAAGTACTCTTACAAGGTTTGTCCCCGCCCCCACGTTCTTTTATTATTATTTCTATTTTGTCCTTTTTAGGGTTAAATCGGATTAAATCATTATTGCATCTCAATTATAAAAAATAAATGTAAAAATTGCACAGGAGCCCGAGAAGCTGGAGCTGCACCTGCAGGCGCGGCCCGACGAAGCGCTGCAGTTGGGGCTTTCGCTGGTGGAGCAGGGCGTGGAGCCCGGGGCCTGTGTGCTCCTGCAAAAGAAGGAAAAGCAGACCAAGATGTCCATCTTTCGCAAAGGCCGAACCAGCAACTACCCCGGCTCGTACGCTCCTTCTTCTTCTCTCCAACTACCGCACGCACACGCACGTCACCGCACACGCGCCACCGCACGCGCACCACGACACACGCGCGCGTTGACTTACGCGCGTTCTATGCAGGGGACCCGGGGGAGTGGTGCGTCCGTGGCAACCGCCAGGCGACAAGTCGTCGGGACCGAGGCCACTCATCTTCGGCGGTACGCTCGAGGACACACTCGCCGGGCGCGACCTGCCGGTCCTCATGATCAAGTGCATCACATACGTCAAGGCACGACCCCTCACCGCCACTCACTCACTCATTCACTTCGTCTTCGTTCTTTTCCCTCCTCTTCGTCTTCTCTCTTTCGCCTCGGACCTAAAAAACAACGATCATCGGACTTATAATCTTTGTTCGGCGCCGGTGCAGGAGCGGGGCATCGACAAGGAGGGAATCTTTCGTCTCTCGGGCAGTGCGGTGGCGATCGAGGGGTTCAAGCGGGCGTTCAACGAGGGCCAGGACGTGGACCTCAACAACTGCCTCGACATCCACGTCGTGTGCGGTCTCCTCAAACAATTCCTGCGAGAGCTGCGCGAACCCCTCCTCACCTTTGACCTCTACGACATCTTCCTCGAAACCGGATGCCAACGTACCCTCAACGTTTCCCTTCACCTCCTCCCACGCCTCGGCCGATGCTGATTGTGTCGTGTGTCGTGTGTCGTGCGTGTCGTGTGTCGTGTG